GGTGAAAGGATGTTTTGGGTATTTCCAGCAGTGGTAATGTGACGGTTTGCTGACTTTAGCAACTGCCAGTATTTGTCTCTGAATATGAAATATCTTATGATTTAAAGAAAAACAGAGGTATTTCCTTACCCTGCTAATAACATATACAATATAATTGCATACATGCAACTGGAGAACTCATGCTAGTATAGTCAGCACATTTCTCCAGTACTCAGTATAAAGTCTATACTGGCTGAAGTTTAACAATACCAGTGCTGGGGTTAATTTTCCTACACATTGATTTTTCACCCCCAGGAAAATACAGCATTTTGAGTCATTTTCAAGTGTGGTTTATGGTCAAGGAAGTAACCCTGTTGCAATACGTTATTTATAGATCACTGTATGATCACATTCACAGTTTTGTGTGTTTACTTGACTGATAGAAATATGTTTCTCACTACCTTCTAATCCTGGTAGTAGGTGTGGTGCGTTGACCCTGGCTGGAGGCCAGGTCCCCTCCAGAGCAACCCTGTCGCTCCCCTCCTTAACTAGACAGGGGAGAAAAGGTATAACGAAACGCTTGTGGGTTGAGATAAGAACAGGGAGAGATCACTCACCAGTTATCATCATGGGCAAAACAGACTGAACTTCAAAAATCATTTAATTTATTACCAAGCAAAACAGAGCAGAGCAATGAGAAAGAAAATCAACTCTTAAAACACCTCCCCCCACCCCTCCCATCTTCTTGGGCTCAACTTCACTCCCGGGTTCAACCTTCGCCCCCCCTCAGTGGCACAGGGGGACGGGGAATGGGAGTTATGGTCAGTTCATCACACATTGTTTTTTGCCGGTCCTTCATCCTCAGGGGGAGGACTCCTCTGGTCTAGCATGGGGTCCCTCTCACAGGAGAGAGTCCTTCATGAACTGCTCCAGCGTGGGTCTCTCCCACGGGGTGCAGACCTTCAGGAGCAAACTGCTCCAGCGTGGGTCCCCTATGGGATCACAAGTCCTGCCAGCAAACCTGCTCCGGCATGGGCTCCTCTCTCCACGGGGCCACAGGTCCTGCTAGGAGCTTGCTCCAGTGTGGGCTTCCCATAGGGCCACAGCCTCCTTCGGGTGCCTCCACCTGCTCTGGCATGGTCTTGTCCACGGGCTGCAGGTGGAATCTCTACACCCCCTCATCCTTCCTCCATGGGCTGCAGGGGGACAGCCTGCTTCACCATGGTCTTCACCACGGGCTGCAGGTGGATCTTTGCTCTGGCACCTGGAGCACCTCCTCCCCCTCCTTCTGCACTGACCTTGGTGTCTGCAGAGTTTCTTACATCTTCTCACTCCTCTCTCCAGCTGCAAAAGCTCTCTCTAAGTTGTTTCTTTTTCCTTCTTAATCCCAGAGGCGCTGATTGCCTTGTCCTTGGCCACCAGTGGGTCCATCTTGGAGCCGGCTGGCATTGGCTCTGTCAGACACAGGGGAAACTTCTAGCAGCTTCTCACAGAAGCCACCCCTGTAGCCCCTCTGCTACTAAAACCTTGCCACGCAAACCCAATACAGTAGCATAACAGAAATAATGCAGGAATGGAGGAAAAGATGAGCCTATATTAGTTCCACTCACTCACCGCCTATTTCTCTTGCCTATGGTTATGTCTTCCTGGTCTTTATGCAATGGCAAAGTATAGAAAATGAATTAACGTGCTTCTATGTGATTTAGCTCCCTTGATTCTTCCATTTTAGAAAAACTCCACTTAGCACAATGCCTTTTTCTTTCTCACTCAGATGTTGAATTCCATCTCTAAAAAGTACAAAGACTGTATTTTTTTTTTATACTATGTTTTATTGTACAAAAAGGTTTCTGTTATTTAAAGACCTTGGGGATGAAGGACAGCAATGGAGAGGATAGGAGCTAATAGAACTAACATTTAAGTTTAAGAGGGCCTGAAATGAATTTTAATATTTTAAATATTTACAGATATTTTAGAGTAACTGGCTTTATTAATTCATTGATCACTATTTAAGAATCATATAGTAATCCCAAATGCATACAGAAAGTATCTTCCAGTCACATCATATCAGTATTGATATGTATTGTATTCTCTTACAAATTTAAACACATCTTTATCAGTGACTTAGATAAAGTTATGTCAGTATCTGGCCCTCTGTCTTTTCCTTCTTTTCATTCCTGATAATGATGAGAAACTCTCTTAAGAGGAAGTTTTTGAGAGTTTATTTCAAGGCCAGCTATTGAGTTATTTATGATTGTAGATATTGTGGCTGTATCAAACAGGTTCACTGAAAGTACCATGTCATCATGACACTGGCTGGTATGGAGGCTAACTGGTTTAAACAGATGATTTAATATGTATTTGCGTGAAAAAAATAAAATTAAGTTTTCCTATCATGTAAGATTTTTTTTCTGCTTATTTTAATAGCAGTGGGAAGCATAAAATGCTTTTTAAAAAAATGTTGATTCTCTTTCTTTGAGTTAATCCTTAAATGAAATATTATGTTTGTTTTGGCTTATGATTTGTGAGATATTTAGAAAGAATAAAGAACATTAAAGAAAAGCTGTAATAATAAGATTTTACTTATAATATAGATGAGGAAACATTAACAGAAATGAAGTTCTTTCCGAATGACTGAGTCACAACATGTATTCAAAGATGAATGTCATAAATAGAAAAAACAATTTATTGATAGTGATTTGGAAAAACATGGAAAGCTTCATATTGCAAATGTAAATTTGCATTTAGTGTTATCATTATTATTCAATATTGTTCTGATTAAAAGCCAGTTTTACTGGATTAAGCTACTCTGGAATCATAATCATCAAAATCTTTCAGAATTGAACATCAATCTACTCAGTGCTTAGTCATAAATAAATTTATTTCTAGATGCATGGGAAATTGATTTAGGACTTATCAGAAGTCTTTTATAGCTGATATTGCTCTTGGAAATTTTGACCAATTTCAGTGGGTTAAAATAAAAAAATCAAAAAGAAAAAATCAAACCGAACATTTCTTAAGGCTGAAAAACTTGCATCTGTTTAAAGAAAATATGAAATTTTAAGTAAAACAGATTAACAAAGTTATGATACTTAATGGGATGAATCAATGGATTTGAGCGAATTTAAACAAAAGGATCAAAATAAAGAAATTTAAGTACTGTGAAACATTTTCAAAACTGCTACCTTTACATGTTTATTTGGAAAGTACTGTTTTAGAAACCATAAAATCATTCTATGACTCTTTAAAGAACAGTGTTGGGTTAAGTGTATTTGTATAGTACTCTGCAGGGAAATCCTAGTGAATTATCAGGTTGACTGGAGTTAATAAATTTAAGACAGTTTGTAGTACATGCAGAATTATCCCTAGAATGCTTCTAGCAGCTTTCATGTCCTACCCTACATACAAAATATTCTGGGAATTTAAAAATAGACCTAATTGCTGTTTAGTAACAGTAATAATATACCACCTAGAGTGCCTGAAACAAGAACCATGAAACTGTAGAGTAATTTAGGTTGGAAGGGACCCCCAGAGGTCATTTAGTCCATCTGCTTAAAGCAGATACAATTAGATCTAGTTGCTCGTTGCTCAGAGTGTTGTCCGAGTTCTGAATGTCCTGAAGGATGGTCTGCCTTCATGATTTAAAGTAGTAATAGTAGGAATAATAATAATCCTTATATCTATTCAGACTTTGTTGTGTTCTGTCTTGTGTTTACTGACTCTTGCCCTATCACTGTGCACCTCTGAGAAGGATCTGGATTCATCTTTTCTATAGCCTTCCATTATGTAGATAGTGATCAGACCTCTGTATAGGTGGCCCAGGTCCCTCTGATAGTTGATACATGGGGCAGGGCTGCTGATCCCTGCGATTTCATGTCCACAAACCTTTTGAGAACACACTCCACCCCATCATTTAGGTCATTAGTAAAGACATTAATCAGTACTGTCCCAATATCAATCCCTGGAGGATGCTACTTCCAGCCACCAGTTGGACATTGCTGATGGCATGTCTTTGAGCCAGGAAGTTCAGCCAATTATCTACCTACCTTAAGTCCTGTGGATACTGTGGGAAATTGTGTCAAAGGCCTTGTTAAAATAAAGCTACCCACAGCATATACTGCTCTCCCCTTGTCCAAAGAGCCAGTAATCAGGCTAGTTGGGTATGACTGCTGTTTGGTAAATCCATCCTGGCTGTTCCCAGTTGCCGCCTTGGCCTTTGTGTGCTTGGAAATTACTTCCAGGAGAATTTGCTCTATTATTTTCCCAGGGACTCAGGTGAAGCTGACTGGCTAGTAGCTTCCTGGATCCTCCCTCTTGCTCTTCTTGGATATGTGTGTGATAGTCAACCTTTTCCTGTCTACGGAACCTCCCTCTGATTCTTTTAGACATAATGGAAAGTGGCATTGACCAGATACATCAGGACCTTCAAGCTCATTTCATCTGGTCCCATGGGCTTGTGTACATCCAATCAGCTTAAATGCTTTATAACTGTACATTCTACTGTGTGGTAATGCTTCATGCTCATGGATTCTACAGGTCGGCTCAGAACTCTGGAACATTTAAGGCTGAAGTTTCCCAGTGGAAACAGAAGCAAAAAAGGAATTGAGCGCCCTAGCCTTTTCCATGTCCTTTGTCACTAGGCTACATAGTGGATCCACATCTTCCTTAGCCTTTCTTGTGTCAATGTACTTACAGAAGGCCTTTCTTCTGCCTTCCACATCCGTTGCTAGTTTCAGCTCTTGCTGAGTTTTGGTTTTCCTAAATCCATCTATCAAGCAATATCTGTATATTCTTCCTGTGGCATCCACCCCTGCTTCCTGCACGCAGGAGTGGGCTGTTCTTGTGCTTTGAGGTGGTTGTCCCTGAAGATTAGCTAGCTCTCCCAAGCTTTCCCTTTACCTTCCAGGGCAGTCTTCCATGAGATTCTACCAGGAAGATCCCTGAACAGGCTGAATTCTACTCTCCTGAAGTCCTGTGTTGTAACTGTACAATCTTTCTCATTTCTCTAAGGATTTTGAACTCCATAGTTTGATAGTTGCTGTAGCCAAGGCTGCCCTTAATCCTAACATCCCTATATGGGTCTTCCTTGTTTGTGAGCAACAGGTCTGGCTGAGTGCCTTTGCTAATTGGCTTCTGAATTACCTGCACCAAGAAATCATCATCAATAGATTCCAGAAATCTGATTGCTGCACTCAGGCATGTTACCTCATCAGCAGGGTGGTTGATAGACCCCAGTGAGTATGAGTGCTTGCAATCATGAAGCTTTCTCCATCTGTCCAACAAAGGCTTCATTGACTTCCTCTTCATGTTTGGGTAGTTTATAGGAGGCATCTACCACCACATACCCATGTTGGTCTGTTCCTCTCATCCTTACCCATAGCTCTTGACTACACACAACCAGGTGTTGGACTGTAGGTTACATCCACCCTGACTTGAACCTTTTTCCCTCACTGGAGGAATTGAGGAGAACACCACCTTGGCACCCTGCCCTTCACATTTGACCCCAGTGCTCTTTAGTTACTTTCAGTATGTTCAGGGTCAGCCCTGGTAGTGTCATTGGTGCCCATACAAATAAGCAGCAAGATGTAATAGCTCAAGAGCCAGATGTGCCTTGGTAGTATCTCCACAATGTCCTGAATCCAAGCACCTCACAAGCAACAGGTTTCACAATCATCAAATCAGATCAAGTAGATAGGTGCCTCTGTTCCTTCAATCTCAAATGACTGTCAGCTGCTGCTTCTTATTTGTGATGTGAATACTTGATTCAACCTCACTTGGCTCTGATGTTTCTTCTGTTAAGTCCTTCCTCACCTGTTCCCAGGTCACTATACCTGTTTTGCAATTGTTTACCTGTAGTCAGAGGAAAAGCCTTCTTTCTATTGGCAGAAGTCACAAGTCTTCAGCCTACCCCATCTTGGGAGCCTCCACTACTCCTTTGAGGGTAATCTCTAGATTTTCCTCCTTTGTATTGTTTGGGAGTCTCGTCTCTGCAAAGTCTCTGTGAAGATCTTATCATTCTTCTGTAAATCCTCCTGACAGCATACTCATCTCCTGCTTTGTGCAGCAGTGCAGCACCTTGATCAGAGCACAGTCCCCACAAGGGAGGCCAATGTCTCCCCCAGCCCCAGGAAGAGGCACCATGCACTCCTTAATGCATCTAGGAGTGCACAGCAGCAGCCCCCATAGCATTTCAGCCCCCCACAGCAGTTCTGTCTGGGTTGGTGCCTCTGAAGTGCCAAGGATAATTGTTCCAGCTGATGCTAGAGACTGTGCTCTGTGGTGTGTCAACACCAAGGCTGCAGAGTGTCAAACTGTCCCATGCAGGCTTGAGCAGAGTGCTGGTCAGCATGACTTGAACACTTTTTTTAGAAAGAAGTAATTAGGTTTCATTAGAGAATGTTCTTTCTGTAGATGCTTGACTCCTGATGCAGAGGCACGTCCAGATATAGTGGAGGTCAGCTCGCTGCTGTCTGATGTGATGATGAAATACCTGGATGTTCTATCTACCTCTCATCTCATGTTGGAGAAGAAACTGGATCGGGAGAGGAGACGAACCCAAAAATACTTCATGGAGGCTAATCGAAATGCAGTAACCTATAACCATCAGCTTTCCATTGTATCACAAGTAAGTACCTGTATTAGGCTTTATTTTTTCTTATCGTTGTTTGCCATATCTGAGAAAATAAGGTACAACAGAGCAGAAAACAAATGAAAATGAAAAGGCCCATCCTCTTAGAACATTTTTCCATGCATGGAAATGTTCTTTATTTTTAACAAGGTGTTTATTCATTTTTTGTGTGGACATGCTTATGCAGGAAAAATAACAGTATCCTAAAACCTGATATCATTCTATGTTGGAAAATGGCATTGTTATGGAGGTACTTGCAGTTTTGATAGAATCTGATAATGTTTAATTATTGCTGCACACTTGTGAATGGTTTCTGAATAGGAGAATATACGCTTGGCTAGGGTGGAACAAATGGATAGTCTGGTGTATGATTCACAATGACAGCTAGCAAATGGAACCTACACAAATACAATTTTTAATTACAGATTGCTAAATAAAGAACAGTGATGCTGATAAGGTATTTGATAATGCTTTCTTACTGTGTGATACCGTTCTGCAGAAATACTTCTGAAAATTCTTCCATTTTTGCTTCAGATTGTGTTTTAAGCACCCTTCATGAAGGACATCAGTATTTTACATAATGAACCAAACTTGTATATGATCTCAGAGAATTTCCTTCAAAAAAAATATACAAAGACAATGTTTTTGTCTAGTTAAAATCTCACTGTGTAAACTATTGTTACGGTAATTATGAAGCAAAGTTATAATTTAACCAGCTACTCTTGTCTGTTCAGCTATTGTATCTCTCTTAGATTCCTTTTATCAGGGCTCCGTAGTTTGTGCTGAAGAATCTCTGTGTAGGAAAAAGTTTTTCAGGAACACCTGGCCCCAAACTCATAGTTTTTGTTTAGTTTTGTTTTTTGGTGTGGGTGGTTTTTTGGTGGTGTGGTGATGGTGTGGTGTTTTGTTTTGTTTAATATGTTCTTTGTCTTTACCTTCCTGGCCAAACATAAGACTTGTAGAAATTGTTAATAATTTTTTTTCGGTAGTTTTTTTACCTATCAGTCCAAGATCATCATTTGTGTTATACCATTCTTTTCAATAAAAAAGATGCCAACAACTTCCAGGAAAACCTTCAAACCACTGTCATTTGAAATATAAGAGGTACTGAGATGAAAGAAAGATACAGAGTAGGATTTATAACTTAAAACAGTATGAGCAATTATTTTCCATATCTTTTGAGTTTTCTTACCCTACACACTTGGAAGCTTGTTGTACGCTATTATTTTTGTCATGTCTTGATATAGTAATTTTCTTGTGTAACTGTGATGAAATTCACAAAAAAAAAAGTACTATGGATGGAAAGCTGCTTGATGTAGGATAATTGCATTGAAATCCCATCTTTGAGAGAAGAGGGCCCTGTCCAGACACTTGCAAGATATGATAGAACTAATAGCTTTACATTCAAGTTAGAGCACTTCTGTTTTGTGCAAATACTTGAAAAGTACACCTATTTACATAAGGAGAAGGAAAATGCCTCTGTATTTTGGGGAATGATGGCTAGCCTTCTCAAGGAAGAAATACTGTAATTCTAGTTCCACTCCAATGGATATTTTATTATGTATATTAAAAGAAACAGGTACAACAGGAGGATCTGACAAAGATCAGAACACTGCAGAAGCTGAGGGAAGTATGGCTTGCTAATGGGAAGTGGGAGACCTAACTGTGTGTCCTTGCTGTAAATAAGATAGAATAAATCAGGCTAGGATCTTTCAAATTTCAGAGGAATGCTACAGGGCTTAGAAACAGAAGGAACCATGTTGTTTCTTTGTTCCTGGTATTGTATGAAACTTTTATGAAATTGGAGGATTTCTAATAAAGAGAATAATTATTCCTGAAAAGTTTGACTTTTGGAAAAAATATTCTGACTAAAAGTACTAGGAAGAATTTCAAGCAGCTATTCCTGAAATAAAAACTCGGTTAAGTGTGGACAACCCAATTCATCTCAGTCAAGGCCCCAGCAATTCCACAGCCAAGTAATTTGTCATTTTTCCATGGTGTCAGACAATTCAGTGTTTCTGCCATGTAGTTCAATGTTTTGTTGAAGTCAGCTATCTTATACTTTGTTTTCTCAATACTAAAATGTACTTAGGGCCTCCTTTTTCATCCCAGTTGTGTCATATTGTGAATGTTTCTGAAATAAAGAGCATACACTCTGTCCTGGTTTATGGAACTAAGCAACAGAGATCTTTTGGACCCAGAGTGGAATCTATTCTATAAGTAGTTTCAGACCAGTATGGAAGCTGAGAAGTAGGCAATTGAAAGGCAGGTCAATAGATGATGTTGAAGAAATGTAGTTACTTTGCCTGGCAAGTATAGCGTAAAATCCATGCTTGAAAATAGTCCTAACAAAAAGAATCATTATCAGCTCCCCACATAAATTCTTATCTTTCCTTGTTTTCCACAGAAATTGTTGTTTATATAAGAACAGAAGCAGATATAGGAATGAAAGATATTTAATAGTGTTAGTGTGTTCAATTTTGAAAGATTAAGGATACTGACATAACACAGGCTACAGACGACCCAAACAAGTAATAATAATAGTATCTCTCATATAGTACCTTTCTTTTCAAGGTGGTCAATATTATATTTTAATGCTCTGGGTAGGAAAAGATGGAGAGGGAAAAGGTAGTTTGTGTAAGGTCACCAAACAGACCAGTGGCAAAGTTGAGTTTTCTGCGTTCCAAGCCACATCTGAGTTTCAAAAGAGTAGTTGATTTAACTAATAGGAAAAGTATCTTTCTAATGTTTTTCTTTAAGGAGATGAGAGTGTAGCCACATAATAATTTGTTTGCTTTTTGAGGTATACAGATTTGAAAAATTTAGATGTTACTTTGGCTGTTTGCAAAAAAACTGAAAATAAGTCACTTTTATTACTTTGGATATATGTATTTGATTACATGGCATTATCCATTATTGTTTTACTTACTGCATACATCCTGAAGTGGTTTTAACTTTGAAATAATGCTTAAAAGCCCTTGGTAAGGCTGTATGTCCACATACTGTTTGACATTTAAATAGAATAAGTTCTTTCTCATTGACAGATTTTTAATGTAAAATGTCAATATACCTAAAACAATATAGAATGATGAATACTGAGATCTGTCCTATATTTTGAATGTGGGAGAGAAAACTGTAAGCTTTATAATTGGAGTCTGCTGGCTAAAAATACATAACAAAATACGAGCTGTTTGTACCTTCTGCTACTCTGATCAGCCAGGTAGTCTATCATGTCTGCTCATTTTTAATATATTCTCTGAGAGTAACTTCCTTTTCTCAGTCTTTGAAATTCTGATCTCTGCATAGGGCACGCATGTTCTGTCACATTCTTTATTGTAATACCATGTTGTTTGGGAATTTAAGCTTATTTTAATTTTTGTATTGATAATGTCACTAGAATACATGTTATATTTTTAAATCCATATATGCAAATCCATGTATTCAAATGAAGTTCCCAATTATCCAGAGTAATGGGAGACTAAGATGTTTAGATAATGGAAAAGTAGGTACAACTTTTGTTTCTGAGTGTAGTGTGATCTATGGAGTGGCTCCACATCCAGTATTTGTTAGGGCTAATAGGGTGTCAGAAGTCATTAGCAGTGCTTGGGTGTGAGCTTGTCCATTTAGGTCACCATTAGCCGAGTTCTTTGTCCTAATGTTCAAACGCACAAGAACACTTATTAGCAAGGTTGCTCTCTGCATTTTTCTGTTCTCACAGTTGAACTGATAAGTCTTCCCCTAACCCAGCATGCTGAAGAGCATGGCATAGACACCCAAGGCAAGTCATCTTCATCTACCTTTTAGACAGGATTTTTAGCTGCAGGTCAACTCTGGCCCTACCAGACCTAGATTCACAGGTATCAAGGTATTGAGCTTCTGCTTGACTAGGATGCTACTCCTAGGAGACATAATCTGATTATTCTGGTTACAGCCTATGCTAAGAAGCCTGCCTGGCTCGCTTTCTTCCAGAAGCAGGAGAACTATTTATTGGCTGGAAATACTTAAAGAAGCAGTATAGCAGTTTCCAGACAGGACTACATCTAAGCTAAAGAGCCTGGCCAGACCTGAAATGGCAGATGCAGTTTCCTGTCTTCCATCTGTGGCATAAACCTTCATCATCCACCTGTAGATAATTAAGAGTAGATTGTATTATGACTTTTTCTAGATTGGTTTAGAAACATGAATGGTATGTCTAAAGTCTTGAGAAATGTTGGGATTTCTTTGTATGTCCGTTCTATCAGAAAGACCCGAATGTAAATAATTATGAAGCATTTTGTAGGAACAGCTGTAAATACAGAGCACGATGCTGCTCCCACTCTTCTTTATCCACAGGAATGGATTTTCTTTATTCCAGTCTTTTTCTTCATCCACAGGGATGTGTGGCCAAAGGGGGAAGGGTTAAAGCTCATGGTTTAAGAATCCATACTTTTGTAACTACCCTGCAGGCTATTGGCATCTCTTGTAATTAAAAGCAGTCATCATGCTCCTCAAGTTTTTAGAAGAAACGAGGACAGGATCACAGCTATCTGGAAGGCAAAGAAACACAAAATTATTTAATTGCATTTTCACCAAATATCCCCCCCTCCATACCCAAATTCAGTTCTGCACTCTTGGCAATTGTTGTGCTAATACTCATGTTGGTAGTTTCTAAGCATCACCACATGCATTACCAAGTAGTGCTTACTTAGCAATTTGATTTCAATTCATCTATTTATTTTTTTGTTAACTCAAAAAGACATAAAGATTCGATTAATATTCATTTTAATTTCCTTTTTCTTTGTGTTTAGATATATATTTTGTTCAATTCAGCCAACCAATGCATAAAATATTTTTTTTTAAACAACTGTGTATGAATACAACAAATGTTTCTGTATTGGTTGAAGCAAAGAGTATGTTTAGTTTTAAAACACTTAGAAAGCAACAGGTTATTAATATTGCTGCAATATAGTCCAATCTTTACATTAGATTAGAATATTCAATTCCTATTTTTATTAAAA